TATGTCAGAAGTGTGATTGCATTCTAAGCACAGTGGGAAGGGTGGTTGAAGGGAAGGTATGATACATTGATGATGCAGGGCTCCTATTAGGTAATCAAATAAAAGACAGAGATAGAAAGAAAAATATAAGGGAAAATAAACAAAGATAAAATACATCCAGAGGGCAGTTCATATAAAGTTAGCAGGAGCAGGTCCTTGAGCCCCCAGCTCCATGGTCAGAAGAAAAAGAAACCTATCACTGAGCAACCACTATCTGAAGGCACAGTGACTGGAACATTGCAGGTGTTTCTTGTACTGCTCACCATAAACAGGGGGTCTGATTGGTGTTAGTGCTTGTCCTGTAGAGTAAGACTCCGTGGCCTTTTTCAGGAGATGGAGAAAGTGCTGGTGGAATTTGCTGCCCGCCCAGAGCACAGGACCTCAGATAGTACATTCCTGGTGTTCATGTCCCATGGCCTGCTGGATAGACTCTGTGGGACTCAGCACAGCAAGGAAAACCCAGATGTGCTATCTTATGACACCATCTTTCGGATATTCAACAATCGCAACTGCCCCAGTCTCAAGGACAAACCTAAGGTCATCATTGTCCAGGCCTGCAGAGGTGGTGAGTTCGGATAAGGAAAATCCAAAGGGGATGAGGTGTTTGCTGTGGATTATGATGTATGTTTTGCTTTAGGGAAAACAATCCTAGACCCCATTCAGTGCAAATAAAGTGAATTGAATTCTTGGGAAATGCCAAGGGGAGTTGGTATCTTGAGAGATTGTCTTTTCAGCTAAGAAATATCTATTTAATTTAATCAAAGGTAAATTGTGAAGCATATCTTCAGACTACCTAAATCAAAGTTGGACACAAATATCTAAATCTTGGAATAAGATTATTTTAATGACAGCTTCAGTTAGACATGTCTTTCAGGCATTTGACATTCTCTGGCTTGAGAAGAATTTCATTGCAAATTGGGGCTGTTCTATAGTAGAAGCACCCTTTTCCCCTCATGCATTATTTAAAGGGAATTGAGTAGGTTGATGTGGTCACTTCGAATTGCTGTCAACATTTCCTTTGCTTTTTTCTGACTTCACATTGACTCTTAGAGTTTTGGAGCAGTGTTTGGAAGAAAAAGCAGAAATAGCCTACCTGAAAAATGGTAACTAGGCTCTGAAATTATGCAGATAAGGTTTTAAGTCCTTTGCTCTTCTTAGGAAAGAGGTTCTTCCAGTTTGCTGATGCCATCACTACTTTCTAGTAAGATGCTGCCACTATTAGTTGGCACATAAAGACATTAGAGGAGGCCAAGGTATGTGTGGGGGGCAAGGATTTGATGTGTGTATGCATGTGTGTGTGTGTGTGTGTGTGTGTGTGTGTGTGTATGAAATTGCTGAGAAACATTTAAAAAGAATGAGGTAGACAATAGTGACAGTCATACTAATAGAGGCACACAGATTGCAAAAAGTTAATGTCTCCACAGAAAATCGCGGGGAATTGTGGGTCAGTGACACTCCAGCAGCCGTGACAGACAGCTCTTCACAGTCACCTGAGAACCTGGAGGATGATGCCGTTCACAAAGCTCACGTGGAGAAGGACTTCATTGCTTTCTGCTCCTCAACACCACGTAGGTCTTTCAGTTACAGACAAGGGTTGTGTGCCTAAGGCCACCTCAGAATGATTCTGAAATATTGAGATGGGCTCCCTGCAGCAGTGATGTAAGACACATTTTGAGGGCTATCAAAACAATTTACATTTCTCTCACCTATTCTATGGAAACAGAGTTTCTATATTTTCCACTTTTTAAAACTGTACTTTTATTCTAAGTGCAGCACTTTACGGTCAAAGGTATACCACATACTAAAACAACCCAATACAAGGAACCCCGTTCTCATACACCATTAAAAAACAAATTTGATTCCATTTTCTATCAAATCTGTTTAGCATTTTGAATAGAGTTTTAGTGGATCCAGACACTGGCTGCCATCCTTAAATTATCAGCTCCAACTCTTTTTCCCCATGGTTCTCATTTGATGCTTTTTAGAGGGAGCCATTGCATGGCTCAGCAGGACCAGGAGATCCTTTAAAAGAGGTGGAAAATTATACCTTGGGGCTTAGCAGCTCTATTAACAAGGATCAGTGTTTAGTCCTTGACCTCTAGGTAGTCCTCTAAGAAGCCTCTAACATTTGAATGTTTCTACTTTGCAAATTTTTGTTTTAAGTCTTTTCTTTTTGTAACCACTTCATAGAGGTGGTGGTTTTTTTGTTTTGGTTTGTTTTGTTTTTTATCCTCACACAAGGAGTGAAGATATTTTTTCCATTAATTTTAGAGACAGCGGAAAGGAGGGGGAGGGGAGGGAAAGGAAAGGGAGAGAGAAAGAAACATCCATGTGACAGAGACACATCAATTGGTTGCCTCCCACATGCCCCCTGACCAGGGGGCAGGGATCTGACCTGAAACCCAGGTATGTGCCCTTGACCAGGAATGGAACCCGAGACCCTCCAGTGTGCAGACCACGCTCTAACTGAGCAACACCAGTCAAGACTCATGGAGGTTTGATTGACATACAAAATGCTGTATATATTTAATATATGTAACATAGTGAGTTGGGATATAATATACATCAGTGAGACCATGACCACAATCTCCTTTGGATTTGTTCACCCACTTCACTTCTAATATTGAGAAAGACAGAATGCTATTCACTCTGTAAACCACCTGGAAACCAGGGAGCCGTTTTGTGTTGCTTACTGTATAAGCATGGGGAAATTTTTTAATCCTCTGAGTGTCCATTCTTTCCTCTGTAAAATGGGGTAATTTCAGCTATCTCTCAGGCCATGTTTCAAAACCAAGTGAATGAACATGAAGCACACACTAAGAGTCAGTTCCAAGAATAAAAGGAATCATGAAATTCTCGTGAGTTATTCTTTCAGTTAAATTTCTGCCGGTTTTATTTTTACTATTTTCTCCTCTTTTTGGAAAATTAGTTAATGTAGAGATATAAGTGTTTCCCCTAAACATGTCAATTTAATTCCAAAGCTATGCTTAAAAAACTCAAAAGCTACATAAAAAAAAAACCACAAAAAAAACCTGTGAGAAAAGAAAACATTCAAGGGCGCAGCCCAAGTCTGACCACTCCTTATCTTCACAGATAACGTGTCATGGAGAGACCCTACTAAAGGTTCTCTCTTCATCACCCAACTAATCAGATGCTTCCAGAAGTATTCTTGGCGCTGTCACCTGGAGGAAGTGTTTCGGAAGGTAAGCTTTTTCTTCTTCCTTTTCTAATCCTGTGTGTGTGTGTGTGTGTGTGTGTGTGTGTGTGTGCATGTGCTGAAAGACTTTACTATTTTCCTTATTTCAAATGACAATGTCAGGCTTTGTCAGGCAAACAAATGTAGATCAGTGCCTGGTTTCCATTATCCAGGGGTTGACATCTGATGTAGGAAGAGGAGAATTTAACACAAAATTGCAGGAGGTCAAAATAGAACAAAATAGTATAACCTGTACGCTTATTTGTTATGAGCTGTACATTTTTTAAGTAAAATAATGGAAAGTATTTTGAGTTGATTTGTATGGCTTACTTTATTGAGTAAATATATATTGGGTGTTATCGAACTTGGTAATTATTGCTATCCTGTGACACAGGTGTAAGTGAGATATTGTGTCATAAGGCCACTCAGGGCCTTTTGATGAGAGAGATGGATACAAAACAAGTAGACCAGCAAACACATGTGTCACTGCAGATTGCGATAGGTTCCATTACACAAAGGATCTAGGGCATGTGAAAGAACAAAAGGGAGAAGGTATTCTTTGAATGGAGTGGTCCAGAAAAGAAGACCAAATTCCTTTCCCACCTCAGGAAATTCCCCATTCCCCTCTCCCTCCTAATTTGTTTTCCTCCAGGGTTCTGACCACCACTCATTCGGCATATATTCTGTTTGTTCTTACCTGTACTTAATCACTTGAATGCAACCTTCATGAAGGTAGAAATGTGCTCCACACCTCAACATGCTGGCACATAGGAAGGAATTCATATTCATTCAATAAATCAATGCATGGATATCAATACCTTTCTCCCTTTAGGGTATTAAGAATATGGAGCAGTTTTATTTTTTACTATTTTTTTAAATACACTTTTATTGATTCGAAGAGGAAGGGAGAGGGGAGAAAGAGAGAGAAAAACGGTAATGCTGAGAATCATTGATTGGCTGCTTCCTGCATGCTCCCCACTGGAGATCAGCCTTGACTGAAATTGAACCCAGGATCCTTTTCTCCACTTGGAGCTAATGCTCTATCCACTGAGCCAAACCAGCTAGGGCTGTATGGTTGTTTTTAAATAGAAAACTG